TTTATTTCAGTGGCATTTCAGAACTAGGATCTAGGATCATCAAAGAACTCCCTTTCAGATCACACAAACCTAGAGGCTTTCTAGAAAAGGTGACTATTGTCTTGGGCCACACAAAGAGGAAGGCCTGACAGGGCTTCCACCTTCACCACAGCTTGCAGGTATAGATCTATTACTTATCCTTTTTCCATCTATACCACCACTTGTTGAAAATGAGGCCTGGCTTCCTATTGCAAATTGCCTGCTGGGCCAGGTTGGGTGTTTTATTTCTAATTTGGCCTAACCCAAAGGAAGGATGATCTGCCCAAGATATCTGTCCAGATCCCAGGACTCAGAAGTTTGGGAAGACTTCCTAATGGTTCTACTCCTTACTGATTCCCATGATGACAAGTCTGGGCCTCAGTTTTCTCATATTAAAGATGGAAAGAAAATTCTTGCCTTGCCCCTTTCATAGAGTTGTGATAACAGAATATGGAGAATTCATTCATCAATGCCAAAAACTTCAATATGACCTAACCACTCTAGGACTGACCCAGCCAGTCTTACCTTCAGGGCAAACCAGCCAGAAATGGGGAAGGTGATCAGCAGCAGCAAGAACCCCAAGAAACTGATGAGGCTATGGCAGAGGCAGGAGGGCCAGCTTTGGGGTATATCTGGGGGCAAGAGAGAATAGGCAGTCAAGGAACACCAGATGGCCTGGCAGGACAGCTGTAAGTACAATGAGCTTGGTCAGGTGTACCCTTTGCCCACTTTACGCTTCTCACAGTTCTCAATCATATCTTTGGACACATGCTCATTCCCTCCTCCCATACATCAAAACTAATCTATCCCAAGTACAACCCTCACGAGACCTTATTCTTTGCTAGGCAAGTCTCTGAACCTGAGAATCCAATGCTGTCCTTACTGGACTGAGCAGGAATCAATCCCTTGTCTAATTTATACTGCCTACTCATTCATGCCTGTCATGGAGCCAGGAGTACCTGGGCATCTTTAAATGTGTGCTGGCTTGAGCTGAATGCTGCTGGCATAACACATTCCTCTTCTACCAAATGCCCCAGAAGAACGCTTTTAAGGGATTCTTATGGAAACAATGCCTTAGCCTATAGGGATAGGGATACAGCATTAATTTCTCATTAATAGGAGCCTGAGATGGGGATAAAATTTTCTTTTCTACTCCTCACTCCATTTTAATGCCCTAAGAACCATCAAAAATGCATATTTCAATTCAAGCAGTTTGATGGTGGTGGTGGTTGGGGTGTGGAGGGGGGAGGTAGGAAGATAAGGCACATCCAAACTAAAGAGAGAACCAGGTGTCCAGGATGACAGAGAAAGCCCTAGAATCTGGGATGAGCTTATTCTCTGCTCCTCTTCTTCCAATCCTGGACAGGAAGCAGAAAGGAACCTCGGTTCCATCTTTCATGAAGCTCATGTCTGCTGGGTTTCCCAAGCCCCAGGACACCAAGGTTCCACTTCCTGCCTGACCCACTCTGACCCACTGTGACCTCTGCAGGAAAGAAATCCTTGGACAGGAGCAGCTGTCAGTAAGAAGGGTCAGGGAGGGACCAAACCTCCAAGGTCAGGCTGAGAAGTATAGGATCTGGCCTGTGGCCAAAGGAACCACAGAGAGCTTTGGAGCAAGACAGGGCGAGGACAGACAATGGATTGCTGAAGGCCTGCCTTTTTGTTCTGTGTATCTTCTCCAGCTACAAAGGAGATGGCAGGTCCCTGGGTTTCCACCCTGGGGTGAATATTCTTCCATTTCTCCACAGGCGCCTGTAGGGTGCTGATGACCTATGCATAATGGGAACTTGAAACCTATGCCCTGATAAAAGCCGAGGAGAGATGTGATGCGGTTAATTTCGGAAAGATGGAAGCTACGCTGGCTCTGAGGCTGCAGTGCCAGTCCCCTAGGGAGGGCAGATCAACAGAAACACCCCAGCGCCGGGCCCAGCCCCCTCTCCACATTGCAAGTCGTTCCCCTTCTCGGTCCCTCCTCTGAGGGTGCAAGGCCGGCCGACTCCTTAGAGGCAGAGGGTTCCGGCCTGTGGGTACTGGCCAGTCTTCCCCTCTCCCGGGTTCGCCGTGCTGGGCGACCACTCACCGGACCCCGGACCCACGCCGCCCCGCTCTGGGGACAAGCAGCCCTTCTGCGAGCCCAGAAAGCAGAAGCTCGACTGCTGGAAGCGGTCAAAATCCCCCAAGGGCAGCGCCCGGTACCCGGACCTGCCGAGCATGATTCCTGACAGGGACACACCCCCGCGCCTCTGCGCGGCCACAACCTCTGCCGGCCGCCGCTTCCGGCTTCCCCCGCGTCGCCACGGGTGGCGGCTGGGCACAGGAGCAGGAGGCCGACCCGGATCCGCGCCCGCTGTGGCATGGCGACCCCCTGCGCTGGGAGGTCCGAACTGCGGCCGCAGGCGTCGGGGCGTGGCCTGATTTCTTGGCAGCCCGCGGGGTCATTGCCACCTCCTCCCAGATCTTACCTGAACTTAGAAATGGAGGAGGGAAGTTGGGTTTCATAAGAGGACATTCAGGAGCCAAATCTCCAGAACAAAGGAAATGCTGTTTTCAGCCTTCTCAACACTCTCTGTCCAAACTCACGCAGGGAGCGAGGTCTTAATAGACTTAGGGTTTCTCTAGAACATACATCACAAAATAATCGCTCTCTGTCCCCACAGCTCAGCAAGCAGGGCCTGTCCCAGAACAGATCTCAGTACATATTGTTGAATGATGGTGTAGCCAGGTCACTATGGACAGAGTGGAGCGGGAAGGGCTGAACTTTGGCACCAAAAGAACAATTTCATGTGCAGACTCAGGGTGCAGAGTAGAAGGAAAGGATGGACTAAAGCTAACGGATCAGAGTCACCAGAGCATCACAGCACAGCCCTTGATCCAGGCACCAAAGGAACTTGCCTCTCCATGTCTGTAGTTAACCCAAATGTAAATAGCAAATTTATTCTGAAAAGTGTTAACTTCCAACAGGATGTTGGGGCAGGCTGGGAGCAGGTTACCTTCCAAAACTACAATGAAACTAATAAAGTTTTCCCAGTTCTGTCTCCTTGGGCTTCTCATCACTCTCCACAGCTCACTACCAAATCCCTTCTGCATATAGCTACCCACGATATTTGGCTTTTCCTAGTTTGGTGGCCTGATTCTAAAGGCCTAGGGGACACTGACCAGGTGTGGAGGATATGGCATTCTCCTGAAGGCTCTCACAGTTCCTGGATGTTGGATCTCCCTCCAGCTCTGGACCCTACACATACACTTCAGATTCTACTATTTACAAGAGCAATGCCTCGACACAATCTCTTCTAGTCTATTCCATGTTGGAACTGAGCACAGGATGTGCATACAGGGGCCAGTGCAGTGGTTGGGATGGTTTGAAGTTTGAAGCCAGACATTGGCTCAGTGAAGCTGCCTGGAGTTGCACCCTTCTACCTTTACTGGCTAGGATCTGGCCTGCTTTTCATCAGCCAAGAGTTAACCTACTGTCTCCTTAACCTCTTCATACCTGCTCCATACACACTTTCTTCCTTTCTCCCATCATCTCAGATGCACAAGCCTCCCCAACTGCCAAACAAGACATCATCCTGATCCCCTCATCTCCAGTAAGTGTCCTCCCAGTCTGCATCCCATAGCCTCTGAAAAACCAGCCTCTACCTCAGAGCAAAGCCTGTCCAAGGAAGGGACATGACCTTTGTCCTTGGAAAGACGCACAGAGCACTCCTAGGCACATTCCCACCCTGCTAAGTTATTTATCTACAAATGAGATCTGCTGCGCCAGGTGTCCCTGACTCAGTCAGGCTAGGTGGGGACCCATAGCAACCCCCTAGCAGCCAGCAATCAGCATGAGACAGGGAAATACCTGGGATGCCAGATGACCCTCCCAGTAGTTTATGGTGTTGGGAAACCATGTAGTTCAGCATGAACACGCCTCTTGGCTTAAACCAATCAGTTCAAATGAATCCCCCTCTTGTACTAACCAATCACCCCTACCCAACTTGTTCCCGGCCAGTGAATGTGCTAATCATGTTTTAGAGTTGTTGTTTGATTTTCCCACGGTGTGTGATGATTTGCTAAGAGATGCTATGATGTATGTGGGGGTCCCTGCCTTCTCCAAAGAATGTATAAAACTGCTGCAAACCCTGGGCACGGAGGCCTCTCAGCGACACCAGTTGCTGTGTGCACGCGGAGGACCAAGCTAGCTCACAATAAACACCTCTTTGCTGCTTACATCGATCTTGGGTCTCTGGTGGTCTTTTGGGGGTCCCGAATTCGAGCATAACACCCCTCTCCTAGGATGGTCCAACTAGGTTGGCAGAGAGACTGTCCCAACACACACTGCTGATGGTGAGATTCCTGGGTTCCAAACCCTTCACAAACTTCCTATCACTTACAAAACTGGTCCAGTCTCCTTAGTACACTCCTCATGAGTTCCCTCTTAAATCTGAAAGTGGCCCAAACTACCTCGCCAACAGGCTCTCCTGTTTCAAACCTCCATACCTTTTGCCCAGCTGTTGTTTAGTGTTCCCCACCCCTCTGCAGCCCCGCCCCGCCCCGCCCCGCCCAGTCCCTTCATCCCTGTTGAATTCCCGCTGCTTGCTCAAATCCCAAATGCGTAATCTCCTTTCCAGCCAGTCCCCATACTACGCGACAGTCTCCTTTTGGGGGCTGGTTCTTCTACTAGATCTGGGGTTCTTTGAAGCAAGGGCCGTGTGTGGTTCATCTCGGGATCCCAGGGCTCCAGGTACCAGCTAGGGTGGGCACAAAGCTAGGTCAAAGGTGAGATGTATGAATGACTCAAAGCCTCTCTGGCGCAATGCTCAGCCTCGCTTTCTCTATCAGAGCTCAGCCACGCCTCCCCTGCTGGCCTCCCAGCTCCGTTCCAGTCTTCAAAATCCACAGCCCGCCTCTCCGCGCCTAGGCCCGCCCCAGCCCTGTCTCACTTCCTCTCCGGAGGCGGGCCCTCCGCCGGTACCTCCCCTTTGGAGACAGTTCAGGAGACCGCCTTCTGACTGACGCCACGAGTTGGGTTTCTTCTCCCGCCCTCCAAGATCCAAACGGAGGATCCAAACGGAGAATCGAAACTGCGCTGGGCTGTATGCAGCAGGAACCTGCAGCCGCCGGATCTCCTGGCCTCCAGCAGGACCCTGTCCTGCCTCATACGCCCACCATGCCTCCCCCGGAGTCCCCCTCCGGAGGCCACCAGCCCAGCCACAGCCCAGCAGAGGTATTAATGGGTTTGGGGATGAAGGGTTTTAGGCTTTGTTGGTTTGCTGTGGTGGGAGAGTTGCGAAGAGTAATGAAGATCGAGGCCAGGTATCTTAAAGAGTGACACTAAGAGCGAAGGCCAGACATCAGGATCCTGACCCTCTTGGCTGGGGTAGCCAAAGGGCCTGATAGAGTAGGAAGAGGAACCAAGATGAGCTGGGGGGACCGATTTGGACTGTGGTTCTCCACTGAACAGTTTGGTCAGTGGCAGCTGACTGGCCTTTCCACTTACCCTGGAGCCTTGCCTTTTCCCAGATGATGGACCTCAGGTTAGGGAGAATGCAGGTAGTAGCCCTATTGCACTGACCTGGAGCTAGAGGCATGCCCCAGGCTCGGCAAAACCACAACAGCCAAGTTTCCAGATCAGAAGTGAAGAACTGTAACCCAGAAGGGAGAGGTTACCGTGGCCAAGGCCTAGCTCCAGCTCATGTGGTTTCTTCTTAAGGAAGTCTCCCAGTCCTTCTCTCGGAACACCCTTCCTGGCCACCTCTGACCCACAAGCGGGTTTGTTAAGTCCTTCTCCTGCAAGTTTTGCCTTAGCCTTCTCCTGGGGACCCTCACCTTCACCCCCAAAGGAACTACTTGGCACCTTGTTCTATGTTTTTCCGGGCCCTTTTGCTCCCTTTCATGAGAGCACAAATAACATCATATTGCTGTAACTTTTATTACTAACATTTTAAAACTAAGAATAACATTACTTAACAATACTGGTTAAAATTTATGAGTACTTCTCATGTGCCAAGTACTGTATTGAGAGCACTTTTGTGGGACTTTTGTGTGTGTGTGTGTGTGTGTGTGGTGAAATACACATACCATAAAAGTTACCATATTAACCATTTCTAACTGTATAATTCTGTGACATTAAGTTCATTAATAATGTTGTGTAACCATCACCACCATCTATTTCCAGAACTTTTTCATCACCCTATAAACCTGTACCATTTAAGCAATAGCTCCTTTGTTCGCTGATAACTTCTAATTTACTTTTTGTCTCTATGAACTCGACTATTCTGGATATTTTATGTAAGTGGAATCTCTCAGTATTTCTCCTTTTGTGTCTGGCTTATTTCACTTAGCATAATGCCTTCAAGGTTCAGGTATCAGAATTTCATTCCTTTTTAAGGCTGACTAATATTCCATTATTGTATGTGTAGACCACATTTAGTTTATTCATTCATCTGTTGATGAACACTTGGGTTGTTTCCTCTTGGATATTGTGACTAATGCTGCTATGTACATTAGTGTACAAATATCTGTTTGAATCTTTGTTTTTAGGTCTTTTTCAAGTATATATCTAGGAGTGGAATTGCTGGGTCATATGATAGTTCTAAGATTAACTTTTTGAGCCTCCTCACAAACTGTTTTAATGAGATTGGTGTTTAGTATATTCACGGTCTCAACTGAGTTCATTGAAGGCAAGGATGTATCCTATGCATTTTTATATCCCTGGGCCTAATACTCTGTCTGATGGGAAAGTAGATTGTATGGTGAGATTAAGAAGGCATGAGTAAGTGGGGGAATTGGGGGCCTGATAGGCCAGGATTTTGCATCATTAAATGACTGCCTGGAATGGAATGTGAGCTCTCACTCTTGACTTCCAATTGAATTGGCTGGTGGCCAATGGGTGGGGACTCCTGGGACTTCTGGCCTCACCTCCCTTTCTTTGGTTCTCCAGCAATCCATGGAAGAGGAGTTCCAGTTCCTGCACTGCCAGGGATGCCAGACACCAGCCAAGTGCCCCAAGCTGCTGCCTTGCTTGCATACGCTGTGCTCAGGATGCCTGGAGGCTCCGGGCCTGCAGTGCCCCATCTGCCAGGCGCCCCGACCCCAGGGCGACGATGACTCCCCGCCTTTGGATAACGTATTCTTCGAGAGCTTACAGCGGCGCCTGTCCGTGTACCGGCAGATCCTGGATGCTCAGGCTGCTTGCACCCGCTGCAGAGAACCGGCTGACTTCTGGTGCTTCGAGTGTGAGCAGCTCCTCTGCTCCAAATGCTTTGAGGCGCACCAGTGGTTCCTCAAGCATGAGGCGCGTCCCCTGGCCGAGCTCCGCAGCCAGTCAGCTCGTGAGTTCCTGGATGGCACACGCAAGTCCAATAACATCTTCTGCTCCAACCCCAACCACCGCACCCCTGCGCTGACTAGGTAAGTGTACAGCCCTGGGTGGATGGCCCCACGGGTAGGGGCTGGGGAGAGCAAAGATGAAAAAAGTCACACAGAGGCAGACAAGGAGCTTTTAGGTCTTCCCAGCTTAAAATGTGGTCCAAGGACCCGCAGTCTCTGTGGCAATGACCTCAGTTTGTGCTATAAGTCCCCACGTGGATGAATAGTGTAATTTTTAGAAGTGCCACTGCTGGGCGAAGAAGCGTGAACATTTTACGTTTTGATATATATTACCAAACTGCCCTTTAGAAAATCTTACAGTGGACTTTTTCCTAAGTGCCAACAGGGAATCTCAGTAAGGCGCAATTCTAGGATCAGACACAAGTATTTGTTTCTATCTGAAAAGTCTAAATCGTAAGGTTAGGCGGTGCTCTCTGGGAATGTATATATGAAAAGAAAACCAAACAAAATCCCCCAAATCCACTTATAATTATTATCATTAAACAGCAGATGTTCATTTCATTTTTAAATAGGTAATACATTTATATGGTTCACAAATAATTTACACAGTCTCCATTCTATTCCTATCTGCCTAATTTCCACCTCTTCTGCCTCCCTCTGATTGTAAGTAGTCCTTGTTACTAGTTTTGAATGTTTCTTTGCAGTTTCTTTGTGAACATATGTATAGATAGGATAGTCTTATAAGGTCTTGTTTCCCTCCCGTTTAGCCAATAAGGTAGCATACAAAACTGAACTTTTGACTATTCAAATAGATTGATATATAAGGCTCTTCCTATACTACTTTATAGTTCTTGGAGATCCATGTGGAAAGGGAAGTTATTCCTTGTTCATTCTGACATATTGAAAACGACTGTACTTTCCTGATAAACTAACTGCCTTACAAGCTGAATTTATGGCAGAGCCCTCCCTGTTCCTCTTTCCTCAACAGCCTATAGTAATAATTTGCATTTCTTTGCTGATTGTTAAGGTCCAGTGGCTGTTTTAGCTACTGGGTTTCTCTGTGAGTTTCCTCAGGTACCTCCCTTTAGTTCTTAAGTAAACAACCTTGTGAGTTGTTTATTTAGATCCTTTGCCTGTCCTTGGAGGAATTATTCCCTTTATTTGTGTAAGAAGTTATTATAATGCAAATATGTTTTCTCAGCATTGACCTTTGTCATTTTCACTTAGCACGTGGCATAGTGTTTCACATAGGTCTTTAGTATTATGTAGTCGAATCTGTCCATTTCTTTCTTCATGATATAGTGGCTTTTATGCATCCCTGGAAAGAGTCGTTCCCCGCCCCCCCGCCCCATACCAATGTTAAAAATGTTCTCCTATATTCTATTTCAATAATTTCATATTTTAGGTGCTGGGGGGTGTACCTCAGTGCCCCAACACCCCCCCCACACAAAAAATAAATAAATAATAATTTCATGGCTTTGTTTTTATAATTTAATTTATATGGAATTTGTTTCTGTGCATGGTATAAGAATTATTGCTTTGTTTTTCTCTCCAAATGGATTTTTTTTTAAATCAGGGATTGAACCCAGGCATGCCTAACCCCAGTCCTTTTTATATTTTATTTTGAGACAGGGTCTTGCTAAGTTGCTTAGGGTCTTGCTGAGTTACTGAGACCAACTGAACTTGCGATCCTCCTGCCTCAGTCTCCTGAGCCACTGGGATTACAGGCCTGTAGTAGCCTAGCTCCAAATGGAAAAACAGTTCTCTCCACTGCATTTATCAGATACTCACTGTGCCCTGATCTGAAATGCCCTTTATTTTTTTTATTTTTTATTTTATTTAATTTTTTTTTTTTTTTTTTATGTGGTGCTGGGGATCGAACCCAGTGCCTCACGCATGCTGGGCAAGTGCTCTACCACTGAGCCACAACCCCATCCCCTGAAATGCCCTTTTAAATCTTTTTTTTTTTTTTTTAAGTTGTAGTTGGACACAATGCCTTTGTTTTATTTATTCATTTTTATGTGGTGCTGAGGATTGAACCCAGGGCCTTGCAACACACTAGGCGAGCCCTCTACTGCTGAGCCACAACCCCAGCCCCCTTTTAAATCTTATACTAAATGCTTATGTAGTCATGAGTGTGTTTGTAAATCTCTGTCCTATGCCAATGATCTGACTGTCTCTGTTCTTTTTTTTTTTTTTTTTTGCTTTTTCCCATTCTTCAAAACTTATTTTCCTTTTACAGTTTATACAGTTTCAAAACTTACATGTTCATTGGGATTTTGATTGAAATTGCATTAAATCTGGGGATAATTGGCCTTATCCCTGATTATTTCTTTTGGATTTTATAATTTTATTAACATAGGTCTTGAATTTATAATTTGTAATACTCAATAATGAGATCTTTTTACATTATAATTTATAACTGATTATGATTAGTCCTCACTAATCTTAATTTATGTAAATTAATATCATATTAAGCCATCTATCAAGTTCTCTTATTATCTCTGTTAAGTTTTTCAGTTGATTTGTTTGGATTTTCTAGGTTCACAAATCTGAAAATCGTAGGGCTTTTCATTTTCTGGATACTTGTACATGTTGCCACTTTTTATAGCTTTGTTTCATTGTCCAGAACCACCAGAACAATATTGCATAATAGTGATTAGAAAAGGCAACTTGATCTTGTTCCTATCTTTAAAGAGAAAGTTTCTAATATTTTCTTGTTAAGTATGATGTTTATTGTTGACTTCCTTAGGTAATTTCTTAAAATCACATTAAGAAATTTATTTTTTTGTACTTGGTTTACCAAGAATTTTGTTGTTACTATTCTTTTGTTTTTGTTACTGTTGTTCTGCAGGCTGGGGATCAAACCCAGGGCCTGGCACTCCCTAGGCAAATGTTCTGTCACTGAGACAGGTTCTAAGCCCCAATATTGTTTCATTTTTACCACAGGAATAGATGTCCTTTAGGACTCTGTAAGGGTATCCTTTCACTTTTTACTATGAAAATTAATTTAATATGTGTTTCTTTATGTTTCCCATTGTTTAATTACCAGAAGGAAAAACCCTACTTGGTCATGATGTTCTATTATTTTAATTCACAGCTAGTTTCCATTTAATAATATTTGTTTAGGCTATTTTCTATATCCATAAATGTAATACATTTTGTGTGTGTGTGGTACTGGGAATGGAACCTAAGACCTTGCATTTGTTAGGCAAGTACTCTACCAATGAACCACATCCCCAGACCTTCTTAAATTTTTATCTCGAGAGAGGGTCTCTTTTAGTTGCCCAGGCTGGCCTACTAACAATCCTCCTGCCTCGGCCCACCATGTAGCTGGAATTACAAGCATGCACATCTGTGTCTAGCTATAAAGTTAATCAATTTTGTATAAAATATGTGTGATTTGTCAGGTTTTCTTATACATTTTATACTAATTTTTTATTGAATTTGTAAGCTTTCATTTTTTTGAATATGATAATAGGTTCTCGGTAGGTCAAGGGAAGTTGGTCACAGGACCGCTCCCCACCTCAAACACACTTCCTGCATGTACTCTAAATCACCTCTAGGTCACTTATAATACCTAGTACAGTGTGAGTGCTATTTAAATAGTTGTTATGCTGTATTAATTAGGGAATAATAAGAAAAAAAAGTCTGTATATATATGTTCAGTACAGATGCAATTTTTAAGAATACTTTTATCTGTGGTTGGTTGAATCCACAGATATAAAACCTGTGGACACAGAGGGCTGACTGAATGTGTGTACATGAGATATATATATGTAAGTTTTTTTATGTATGTGATACTGGGATTGAATCCAAGAGTGCTTTACCACTGAGCTACATCCCCAGCCCTATTTATTTATTTTAAGACAGGGTCTAGCTAAATTGCTGAGGCTGGTCTTGAACTTGCCATCTTCCTGCCTGAGCCTCCCGAGTTGCTGGGATTGCAGGCATGTGCAACTACACTTGGCTTACAAGTAGTTTCTATATATACACTCGCATATATTTGTACATATACATGTATAGGTACACACATTAGAACCTATTTTGTCTATCGCTATGAAGAATAAAATATGATTTTTGTTCCAGCCAAAATAAAACCTTTTGCATACTTTTCTTTTTCCATCTTTCCCTTCCCACTTTCATACTTGGTTGAAATAATGTGAACTTGTAGTTCCAGATTATTGCCTTTTCTATTCTAAACATCCATTTTAACAATTACTAAGCTTCATAATCACATTACAATTGTTCATAACCTTAGACATTAATTGGTTTCATTGCTCACAAAAATTTTTTTCTGTAGGTTGTCTTTCCTTCTTTCTTTTTTTGTCTTTCCCTTTCTTGAAATATTTAATGTGATTGAATTTCCTTTTGGCTGGAATACCTCAACAACAAGTAATTTAGTTATTTTATTTTTATTTTTGAGACCTTCAGTGTCTTAATTTGCATGTCCTTATTTTGCTGTCACACATAAAGGAACTTTTAGCTTGCTGTCAAATTCTGAGGTTGCAATCACAATTCTTTCATAAATTTCCAGCCTCTAGTGTTTCAGATGAGTAATTCTAATTATTTTTCCTCTGTGAGTAATCTGTTTTTCATTTACTAAGGATCCTTATATAATTTTTTTCTCTTGGAAATCCTTGATAAGTTGTATTGAGTGTAGATCTTTCTCTTTTTCCAGGAATCCTCCATAACCATTGTTGATCTGAACACTCAAGTCTTCAGCTCAGTAAATTTGTCTTCTACAGTTTTATATATTGATTCCCTACTTATTTTTATTTTTACTACTATTATATGGATGTTGGAATGCCAAATACATCCTGTATATTATCTTCCTTTTTTTTTTTTTTTTCCTATAAATTCTGTCACTTTGCCTTTTTCCTCACAGATTCTTAGAGGGCTCCTTGAACTGATTTTCTAATCCATCAACTCCTATACACTTCTTTCAATGTTTTATTACCTGGATTGAGTTGTTTTGATTCCCCAGTACTCATGCTTTTTTTTTTTTTAATTGCCAGAAGAGCTTAATGTTCTCAGTATGCTTTTCCCTAACAGCCTTTTCTTATTGTCTCAATGTAATA